AATAGTCTGGTAGTCTCAGGAAGCAAAACTTGAAGTAGAGGGATTTATATAGGGTCGGTTCGAAAAATCTGATATTGAGATTTCGCTTGTAAATGCTTTTTAGTGTAGCGTAAAAGGTAAATTGCGAGCGATTTGGATCCTTCCGACGTTGTAAAGTTGCATTATAAACCGGCGATTACGTACCCTGAGCAGGAGATTCTAATTTTAAATAGCTTTTCCTCGAAACTGCTGGTTTTCAACTGTATACTTCAAACATACTATAGTAGCAAGAAAGTAAAAAATGGGTAAACAAGGCTATAAAACGCCTCAATCGTCATCACGCAACCCTTCGATTTTTTCATTTTTTTTTCCTTTTTTTTGCAGCTGAAAATGAACATGTGCTTTTAGTGTTTTGAAGCTTTTAGATTTTTTTACCCGTGTTTTACTTTCTCTCTATCGTATTCGCATTTTCGGGCAATGTTTGCGTGTAAATTTTCAACCTGACAAAGCTCAAATTTTGTTCTGGGCCTGTAACCGGAAAAATCCGGAAAAATCTGCCTCTGACAGAAAATAAAAATCTAATACAATACATGCATTTCAATTGAAGTATTATAGTGTGTGTTTCTTTCTGAAAGTCGTTACTTTTCGGAAACTCATTGTAAGCACCTCCTCTCCTCCACTTTTCACGCCCACGCTGTCTTTATGGTGATCGACTTGCGCCTCCTGCAGCCTGATTGTTAAAAGTTCGTGTTTGTCGGAAGGACATGGATGACATTAGATGGTGAAGCGTGATTGGTCGGCTATGTCTTATCGCTGCTTTGTCGATTTGAATGGACGACAAAGTAAAGGCACCTCTTGAGTTTCCAGCAGTATTTCGTCCATTCCAATCGACAAAGCAGCGGTAAGACAGCCGAGAAATCACGCTTCACCATTTAACCTGTCATCCATGTCCACACCCGACAAACACAAAAACAATCAGCGGGCCGATTATTGAAATTGATAGACAAAGCTATAGACAAAGAAGATAAAAGGGATTTGGAGGGATCCTATTGGTGGAGGCGGGTGGTTCTTGTAGACTGAGAGGGAAAATGATGGACTAACTGTCGGGTCTCTTGTCGGTTGCCGTTAGTTAGTCAATTACTTACCTCCTTTGTCCATTGCAACCATCCGCTTCCACCAATAGGATCTCACCATATCTCTTTTCTCTTCTTTGTCTAAAGCTTTGTCTATCAATTTTAATAATCGGCCCGCAGGCTGCTAGCAGAGAATCAATACGAATGAAGTTATGATCCTCCGCACCGGAAAAGTGGCCGCGTTTCGAAAGTCCCCGCTTTTAAATTTCCTTTTGATTCAAAACAAGCACCCCGGGTAAAAACGAAGTCATTCCGCTCCGATTAAAAGCTTATCGGGCCGAATTTTCAAGGGAGACAAAGTTTTATTCGTATACAGGGAGGCGGCCGCGCGACGCGGCGCGCGCCTAGATAAAGCAAAACTATGCGCAAATCCCCTGGCCGGTTTTCCACTGGCGGTCAACCACTCTGCCATTATCTACGCAGTCAATAAGTCTACAAAGGCATTAGGGCAGGCCCGCCACCCCAGCCCCTTGACTCTCGCCCCCCTACCCCCGCCCTATCCGCCTCACGCCACCCCCTAGGCCAACAATCGGCAATACTAGTTTTTTATTTCACTATCTTTCGCGCGGGCTGGAATGCTGGAAAATCAATAGAGCCCTAGCCAGGCCTATCGAGTGTACATCTGTAGTCGTTCGTCGACGCGGTGCACAAAGCACTGACTTTTCTAGGCGATATGAAAAATTGCAGGGGGCGCTCATCGTGGGGTGGATGCCCCTATGGCAGCATAATCAAACGGAAAATTGCGATATTTCTTAATTGAGTTGCAATTTTTTGGCAATAAAGTTGTTCGGATCATCAACATCTGAGTGATTATCTTCAACCTTGTCGCCATTTTATCTTTCATAGAAGCGCGTTCGATAAATTCGAAATGTAATCTCAATTTATCACCATTTTTTTTGGTAGTATTCTATAAATCCCTGTTAATTAAATCGCAATTTTATTCCAGATTGTATAGATGAAATCCCAATTTATTGCATTTTTATATCCGATAATATTGCAATAAATTGACGTCGATAAAATCGCGATACATTCTCCGTTCAAATCGAAACTTATCGCGATTACTGCTACATGGGGATGAAGCTAGGGAGATCTTCATTCTTATCCTTTAGAAGACATTTTTATCTCCTTATCCTGATTATTACGCAGTTCAGAGAAGTTACGCGACTGTTCCAATTATCCATTTCAAAACGTCCTCCTCGTCCTCCTCGTCCTCCTCCTCCTCCTCGTCCTCCTCATCCTTTGCGACCTCCCTGTCCTCCTAGTCCTCCCTTTCTTCTTGTCTCCTCCGCCGCCGCCTCCTCCGCCACCTCTTCTACCTGATCCGCCTCCGCTGCATCTGCCACCTACTCCGCCTCCGCCACCCACTACATCCCTGCCGTCTCCTCCACCTCAGCAGGCCTCTTTCGCCTCCCCCACCTCCTCCGCCTCTTCCGCCTCCACCGCCTCCTCCGCTGCCTTCTCAGGTAGAGGCGGAGGAGGTGGAGGAGGCGGAGGAGGCGGAGGAGGTGGAGGAGGCGGCTGAGGTGGAGGAGGCGGAGGAGGTGGATCAGGCAGAAGAGATGGCGGAGGTGGCGGTGGAGGAGGAAGACGAGGAGGACGAGGAGGACGAGGAGGACGAGGAGGACGAGGAGGACGAGGAGGACGAGGAGAACGAGGAGAACGAGGAGGAGGACGAGGACGAGGAGAACGAGGAGAACGAGGAGGAGGAAGAAGAAGCTTTCATATAAGTTACACAACATTTTCATGGTATATAGTTTCAAAATTTTTTCTTTCATTTTTCCAATTTTTTATTCAAAAGCAATTCATTTAATACCTGTGAAAGGATTTTTTTTTTTTTTTTTTCAAATTAACGCCATCAAATTTTAGTAAGGATTATCTCACCTCCACTATTCCTCCAGGAAACCTCTATACCTCCACTATTCCTCCTCCTCCAGGATTTCTCTCACCAGTTTTCCTTTATATGATGGAAGTTTTGGATCTCGTATTACTCCTTTCATCGCCAAAACCAAAAGCAAGGCCTCCTCTTAACGAACGACTATGAAAATGATCTTTAGATATTGTTTTCGGGTGAATTCCTCCTTTCGATCGTGGAGGCGAACTCTATGAATAATGGCTAAACTCTGCCACAAAGGGCTAATCTCATTATTTTGGTGCCTTCTTAATGTTTAATTGATAAATTTAAGAATTCTGAGACCTATTATTGTCTTTATATTTTTTTCTACATGGTACACTAAAAATGTACAAAAGTGACATACCTATGGCTGAAGTGCAACACCAAGTATCCCCATTATTGCGATTAAAATTTTAGGTATGTATTTTTTAAAGAGGAAACAAATTCTACTCAGATGTAGCGAAAAAACCTATACGAAGTAAATAAAGTAGATACCTTATTTTACACGGCGACTGAATTGGCTGACTGTGGCATCCATGTTCAAAAGAAAATAAACGTCCAATTTTTTTTTTTTTTTGTGAGCCTTGATTTTTTCTACAAGGGAAAGTGGGACACTACGGAAGATCAAAATCACTTATTACTTAATTTTCTTGCTAGATTGACAAACTTATTTTCCTCTAATGTCAGTCCTAAAAAGTAGGCATCAACACAATTAAGAGCCTTGATGACCAAAAGTTAGTAATAAGATATTGGCACCACTACAGAGATTTGTTTCACAAAAATTTTCCATAATAAAACGCCTGAAAATGTCCAACGAAACCGAGAATGAAAAAGTCTAATAATTTGAAAAACCAACAAGCATTTTATTTTAAAGAATGTTTTTTCAAGCAAACGCAGTATCAATACACGAGTTTTTTACTATTGCCCTAACTCTCTTGACAAGTTTAAGTCTATCAGTCAGTACTTTTTCTTCATCTCTCATCGAACCGATTATATTCAAAATCAAGTGAGCGCCAATCTCTATTTTGGTGGTAGGTGTTGTTTTTTCTTCGTTTTCTTTGCTACAATCAATAATGACTGATTTCAAAATAGCCTTTTAAAAGAACATACATTTTTTGGGAATTCGAAGATTGTCAACAAAGCTAATCCGGGTTTCTAATTTTTCTCGCATTCGCAGTATAAGCGCTTACGTGATTTGGAAAATAAATCCGGCTCACAATAATTTCTCCTCTGTAATGAAAAATGCCGAGAATGGAAAATTACCGCAAGTACAGGGAGATGACGAACGTAGCTCACCATTTCATGAAAATATTGAGGATGTTTTTTTCCCATGAAACGATGCGCGATTTCCCCCACCATCTATTCGTCATAATTTGGTATATACGTGCCGTCATGGCAGTGGCGTGGCGTGATTTGTGATGTATCGATTGATCTGCCATTTAAACCCATGAAAAAGAATCGATTGACAGGGTGTTCGCAATGAACACCTTAATGATCGACTTTGTACCATTGCTTCAAATGGGGAAATTTCGATAATCGATCATTCACGCCTCATCAGTGCGTCATGGCTTTCTTCTTCTTCTTCTTCTTCTTCTTCTTCTTCTTCTTCTTCTTCTTCTTCGTTTCATATGTTTTTAGTGTATTTTCCAGTACAATTCTCTAATGGACGTAGCCAAAGTACCTGGTAGTATATTATTCTACCTCTCCTTCTCTATTGCTAATGATTAATATATATATTATTCTACCTCTCCTTCTCTATTGCTAATGATTAATATATATATTATTCTACCTCTCCTTCTCTATTGCTAATGATTAATATCTTTTTTAATTATAGATTTAGTATATTTAAGTGCTGTTGCACTGTGCTGTGCTGTGTGTGTGTGTGTGTTTAGTGTGCTGTGCTGTTTGTGACATAGCAATGCCATTTTCCTCAGTAATGAGTTCACCTGGAAAAAAAATCATCGGAAAAGTCTGAACAAAACTCCACTAATACCAGTTCACAGAGGTGAAATAGAGGTTATACAATTTCTCTTTGCTCGTTGTTTGGAACTCTTCGTTTAGTGTAGATATAAAGTCTGTGCTGGACCTACCTATTTCATCACAATGAGACTAGTGTCTATGTTATTAGTGATAGCTGTCTTATATTTTGGAGATGAAGTGGTAAGAAAGTGCTGTTCTTAGTTGTGATTATTTAGACGTACGAGGCATCTTCAATAATGTAAAGAATATAGGTTTAATTATTATTTTTTGGACGGTGCCATCTGAATTCTTACATGCTATCGTATAGTTTGAACTCAATTGCAACTGTGCGCAATTTTTTGCACTGAAAAGATCCTCCAGAACTTTATTATTTCGGATGTCAGGGAAAGATTTTTGTCGAAAACCTTCATTCTGGTATTTTGATAGAGCCTCACAAAACTTTTTCTGTAGTTAATTTTATTCGTCATTTTTCAGGTACCTTTCCTGAGGGCGATTTCTTTTTTGTGCTTTCTCAACTAAAATTTTAACTCCATGCTTCTTAATTATTGAAACAATTAGATATATTCTTCTTTTCATTTCAGTATGCAGCCGCTTATGATAAAGATGTGTATACTCTAGTTACGAAACTTCGCACTATCAACCCTTGCTCCCTCACTAGAGGAATCGTACACCCTGATGAGGAACTAGCACAGAAAGAAAATGATTGTCAGGCAGCTTTCAAAAAATGGGACGATGTCTTGCCGTATGCTCTGAGAACATCGTCCTGTAAAAATGCAAAACATGCAAGATGTCATAAGTTCATCCACTTGCCCTTTCTCGTCTGCGCTGTAGATGTGCCAGCCTGTACCACAGGCAGTTGTCTTTTTGGATCCACGGAATCAAAGGTAATGTCCCTAAAGGATTGTGTCAAAGATGTAAGATCTCCGACAATAAGAAGGACCAATAGCAAACCATAAATTATGTGATGCTGAAATTTGGGACTTTAAACTCTCCTCTCTTACACTTCACGATCCAATTACGGACGTCCGCAACTCTACCTTCGAAAAGTCGTGTAACTTTTGTTGCGCATTTTACAGAGATCTGCATTTGATTCGAATTTTCACCCTTTAAAATAATGGAATGTAATTATTAGTTTAATTGCCAACTTTAAGTCCTAACTTAAGGTGATTCGACGGACGCCATATTTTGTGTCAGAACGGCATGCGATATATTGCATCAATCGGTTCCATTTTTTTAGCTACTCGTCATTTTTCTCAAATTTTGAGATCGCAATGGACCACTAGACAAGGTACGGATTTCAGCATTCTGTTTCCTAAGCAAAATTTTACGTAGAACACGATACGCACAACGAAAATTACCGAAATTAATTCCTTTCGGAGATATTTAATGATTCTTGATGCGTGAATTGAAACCACCCGCTCATGAAAACTCAATGCTCTACGTGATTCACATCGCGCGCTAAACGTTATCATAAACGTCTCAGCGATATAAAAATCTGGCAACCTCAGTCTTGACGCTTTGGCTCAGCTATAGCACATTGCTGAAGGAAAGTTTGAACAACACATGGTGGGAAATGAACATTGCTCGATTGAGAAGCTTGCTGAAACCATTGTAGTGCGCGATTTGACTCACGTAGAGCTTTGAGTTTCTTGTGAGCGGCCAGTTCAAATTCCTCGTAACTGATGTGAAATAAAAACGTTAATATCTTCGCTGAGAGTTGGTTTCAGTAACTTTTGTTGCGCGAATTGTGTTCTACGTGAAATTTTAGTTCAGGAACATGCATTAGAATGCTGAAATTCGTACCCTGTCTAGTGGTCCATTCTGTTGTCAGGAGACTAAAGCACTCGCTTACCAATTTTAACAAAGAAATTCAACGTAATAAAAGCGTGGTTTTTTTGGAGAGAAAATATAGCATTTGAGTGCAGTTTCTATATCAGTATCGAATGCGATGTTTTCTCTCTAAAAAAACCACGCCTTTAATATGTTGAATTTGTTTGTAAAAATTGGTAAGTGAGTAATTTAGTCTCCTGACAACAGAATTGCGATCTCAAAATTCGAGGAAAATTATTAGTAGCTGAAAAAATAGAGCCAATGGATGCAATATATAGCACGTCGTTCTGACACTAAATATGGCGTTCATCGAATCAACTTAAGATGGTTGTAATCAATAGTCCCACTTTCCTTGAGCAAAAATCGGTTAAAATTACCATATTAATAGTTTATGTATGTTTTTTAGATTAATAGTAGCTTATACCTATGATACTGGTATTTATATTTTAAAGTGATGATTTTAATTAGTTTGATCGATTCATGCATAAAACTCCGCACTACAGAAAAATTGACCGACATTCTTTCTCATGGCAGCCACTAAGGTCGGACTTGGAATCATTTAATATATTTATTGAACTAAACTCTGGAAACTTTCCTAATTACTAAAAACACTTTATTACAATGCAACTCGTTTTTAAGGATTATAATATGCATTCATGTATTTAATTTAAACACTTTATTATATTTAATGTATCATTTTATTGTTTTTGTTATGTTCCATAAATCACAATATAAGCAATTTTGATCTGTATTTAGATTATATGAACATACCATCGCTTATTTTAGGAAAACAAGATGCCATGATGGGCCAATGGTACAATTTTACTGCTGAATGAATATGTGACCAATAAATTTAGAACTCGTTCAAAAAAATGTGTATAGTTTTTTTTTTTTTTTTTTTTTTTTTTTTTTTTTTTTTTTTTATGAGTGAACTTTAAAGTGTATAGAAATGAATTAAATACAGCAAATCAGAGCTAAGATGTATTTAGTTGACACAGGAGAGAAGATGTGAAACGATACTGTCTTTCGAGACAATATTGATGGTAGGGATAGGAGGAGTTTAAACCTAAAAGAAAATGTATTTCCAATAATCGATAAAGTTTTTTCTGGCTCTGATTTTTTGGCAGGAAAATCAAGCTCAAAATCACTTATGACTACATTCCTCTACAAGAATAGCAAAGTTACCTTCTCCTAATCTCAGTTTTGATGTAACCGTTTACAGAGGGATAAACTTCACGCGGAGAAAATTTTTCTTGAGCATCAACAGGAACATCCTTTATTCCTTTTATTATATTTCATGCAGTGCTCTATTTTGTGCCAGCTAATATTTTCGCATATATCTATGCGATTCCGATGGTTGTATCAAGTATTATGGTTTCACCTAAAAGAACTTCGGTGAGAGATATGCCAAAAAGATGTTCCTGAAAATGCTTCACGAGAAAATTTTCTGCGTGTAATGCCAAAAATGCAAGATGTAGATAGGCATTGGCACTGCTGCTGGGAAGAGAACTCTGCAAACATCTTGCCCAAAAAATACACCTGAAAATGTCCAAAAGACCTCCAGGTATGACACCCACATTTCACAAGAAAGACTTTAGTTCTCTTGTGAGAATAAATGGATGCATCACTCGTATTTTCAATGTATGATGAGTCTGTTGAATGTTTTTCTGGAGCTCAGCGTACATTGGATTGATATATCACTCTGTCAGATCACTCATCACTATCGTCATTCACGGCTTTTAGTGTATTTTTCGAAGGAAACATACTATTTTTTCAAGTTTTTTTTTCTTCCATCCAGAAAAAAATTGAAAAAATGGAAAAAGACAAAAAAGAGGAATAAAAAATTGCGTGAAAACATCGAAATGACAGCACGCCTCTGTGCTGTGGCTAGCTTATGACGAACGTTCAGTTCTCAGTTTTTATATGCTTGACAAGCTATAATAGCACGCATATCAATGTAAACTCACCAGTGTGTGAAACTCACCTTTGAGTTTTAGGAGCCACGTGGCCCATTGTGCTCGTATTTTAGGCACTATGGAATATTTTTAGGGGCCATTATAACGGGCAATGTAGTAGCAACAATGCAATGCAGCGGCTCACGTCATATATTGCGAAAAAGAGTATACAACTAAGTCTCACTCACAATCAGCTAAAAAGGCTGGTGCTGCCTTCTCGATCGGTGGCGCTTCAGCGTAAAGGTGAGAATGTTTTGAACTAATATGGAAGTTGAATCCGTGGACTGCATGGTATCGCTCTCTATCGTGCATGACCGAAGTGATGTTTCACTCGAAGGGGTGCTGCCTCTAATCTAACTGCCTCTCTGAACGTGCCAAGTAAGTAAGTAACATTTAGTGCAGTAATACATTTCTGAGAGGAGGAATGGATTTTAGAAATAGACATGCAAAAGTCTTCATTCCAAAAATTTAGTTTGTTGAAAGCCAAATTTCCAAATATTTCTCCATATGATATCAGTTTAAAAGGGGGAGTAGTTATTTAATTCTATGAATTACGATTTTGTAAATCATATGGGATTTTATATATGGCAACATCATTTAGAGGGATTGAAAATGTCATTTATGTAAAGGACAACAAGTCGAACAAATCATTCAATAAAAAAATCAATCTTTCAGATAAATTTTTAAATCTCTCTCTACTCCTACTCTTTTCATCGAAATTATTACATTTGGTTATATCTGATGGTTCTTTCGAAATTTTGAAGTATAAATGAACTTGTTAATTCTTTCATCACTTTACTCCGATCTCAAAAATGTTTCAAACCTCTATTGAATGAAAAAGTTGGTATCTAAATTTTAGAAACTATTTAATCAGAACACATTACAAAGTGAAGACCTGTATCAAAATTGAAAATTTCCAAATTCAATTTTATTAATCTCTCGAGAATCTAATAATTTTAAGATATTCGGTAACTTCATTGTTATTTACGGAACGAAAGCTTCATTAAAACAATCCCGCTGTTGTTTAACATTATAGAAGATCCGTTATGTTGGCTATTTCGTTCTGTTTTCATGAAAATCTGAAAATTTAAGATACTAGATCACGATGTAAAAGTTGCCGAAGTAGATATGCAAAGTTGTCCATGCAAATTAATCAAATGGTACTCGAAGGATAGTTTTATTTGGACTTTTTCAACAGCTTGAAAAAATAAAAATTACAAGTCTGCATCCATCTCCCTCCCTACAATACTGCCGTGCTAAGGAAAAACGCCGTATGAACCCCTCAGGCGTTGCCAAATTTCCTCTAAAAAATCACTAATTTTCAGGAAAATTTTTAAATATTTGTCTGCCAATTTCTGAGATAATTTTGCTCGTAATTTGATCTAAATATTCTGAAAATTTCAAGAAAATAGATTCACAATTTTCCTCAATAATAAACATTTTATCCTAGGAAATTTGGCAACTCTCGAATGTTTATACGGCGTTCTTCCTTAGCATGGCAGAATAATTGTCTCGACCACTTTTGAAGTTGCCTCATTCATTACGCCAAGTCATGAAATGATAAAGCTATGTGTTGCGGTGGTTGTTGGATTGAAGCGTCCAAAAATTTCGTATTTTCCACGACCGATTTACTTTTTCCGAAACATTATTCCGCGATCAAGTCAAGAATGTCTGTCAAGAGCGCGAGCGATGGAGCGCCGTCCAATCTCACGTGTCATTAGACCTCCCAAATGAGGCCCAATATATTTTACCGCGACAGATTCTTTCGATGTTTCAACGCGTTAAGATATTGATCTAATGAGCAGCAACTTTAAAAGGATAGGGTAGACCATGTAGTGCAGTGCTGCCGAGCTTTGTGAGTGAAAACCCTTATAAATTACGATGCCCATAGAAAGTAAGTTTAAGTTTGCACATAATAATCTACCAACATAAAAATAAACACGAAAAATGTGGCCTGAGCTGTGAGTAACAAAAAAATAAAAGTGACGGGTCCACACGATCACCACTCTCCACACACTCTGACTCGTCAGTTTTGCACGAACACTCATTATTAAAGTTCAAATTTTGATCTGATAAATTATTTTGAAAATTTTTCGCCGTAATTTAACTGCAGAAAAATGTAAACTTGGCACTAATAATTCAATCACCTTGTTCCTTAAATCGCTAACCAATGGGACTTTTCATTTGAGCATTGTCTCAACTGTCGTTTATAGGAAACGATGTTGGTCTGCAGAAAAAAGTAAACACTTATTATTCTAACCCTTTGATGCCCAAGTCGGGTCAAATTGACCCAAGGCTTGCTAAAAACACGTGTCCCCTGCCCCGCACGCGGATCATATATGGCCAGCACAAAGATCGTTTTATATACTGCCGTGCTGAAAAAAAACGCCGTATGATTATTCGAGAGTTGCCGAATTTCCTTCGATAAAATGTTTATTTTCGGGGAAAATTATTAGTATTCGATAAATTTAGGTGAAATTGCAAGA